ATTTAAGGGGGTCTGAATACTTTCCGTACCCACTGTATATTGTGAATTCTGTGTTTTTCTTCCAGCCCAATAAATCATTTATTGTCCATGGTGGGAGCATGTTGCATGTTGACTTGCGATTGTCATTTTAATTATATTGTATTTATCAGTCACAAGCAGGTGGTAACCCTCTGTTAGTTTTCATTTCTTACCAATATGTGATATATTGCGAAGCATAATGTTCTCTGTGTGCAAGGGATAGGGTGAGAGTTGAGGTGGGACACAAGAAAGTGCTCTCACATTATATTTGATTTTTAATATGCTTAAATCACTTGCTTTTCATTTTATGTTGCCTTGAGGGTTATTGATGGCCTTTACCTTTCATGTTAGCCTGGGCAAAATTAGGCTGAAAAAGCAACTGACATTAAAATGAAAAAGATGAGTGCTTTTGAATTTTTTTTGCCAGGTCAGTTGTAAAGATATGTTAGTGCAGTAAGGCATTATTCCATGAAATTCATATTTCACGTATTTCAGCTCATATGAAGGCCATTAGCATTAACATTTTTTTCCTCATCCTTTGGTTGATATTTTGAATCCCTTTACTTTTTAATCAACATTGACCATCAGCTCAGTTTTTCAAATCCTCTCTCCCTTACCCGTTATGTTTTTTCCATCCCTTTTTCTGTCTCTCCATCTTTCTCTCTTTCTCAGATCACGATCAGCAAAGGAGAGGAGTGTGTACTGGAGGATAACTCTCAGAGGACTAAGTGGAAGGTCATCAGTCCTACAGGAAATGAGGCCATGGTGCCATCTGTGTGTTTCACCATTCCTCCTCCTAATCAGGAGGCCATCGACACTGCCAGCAGGTACAGCACACAGAACCTCACAGGTTCCTTACAAACACGTTAATTAGGATCTCATACACAAGTAGGAACATGTCTTCAGTAATGTGATACATTTTCAAGTGAAACAATGTATGGCATAGAAATACTACGTTTATGCTATGGACATGAACTACACACACACAAAATGTTTTCACTTTGGCCCAATAAGTAGCCACCCCAGAATGCCCTAAGTACCTGCTGCTACCCTAGCATTTTAGTGGCAAGTTTTGAATGGGCAGACAAGTGCTGTTATTGTTAACCAAAATTAAAACTATTAAAAAAAATTTAATTGATTTAAAGGATAATTAAATGAAAATGTAATTAATTGAAATAAAGCTGAAATAAAATAAAAAATATTAGATGAAAAACGTAAACTTAAAATTTAAAATTAGAAATTTTGAAATAAAATAAGTGTAGGTTGAAGTACAGTACTAAAATTACTCAAAATAAAGCTAAATAGACAAAAAGCACATAACAAAATGACTAATGACTTTACATTTAAAATGAAAACTGAGAATATAAAAATAAAAACTAATTCAAAATATTAATAAATGAAACAATGGTATGTCCACAATATTAAAATAACACTGGGGCAAACACAACTTAATTTTTCTTGGGAAAATAAAATACTGTTTTGTTTTGTTTTGTTTTTATTATTTTATTTATTTAGAATGATGAATTGTGCACTACACCCACTGATCTATAATAGAGAACATGTATAGACCAGTGACTACAACACAAACATCAATTATCAAGAACGAAAAATAGCATACATTTTGTATTGTATTATATAGTCTTTTCTATTGCATAATCAACTTTATAAACTATGTAAGATTATTTTTTTTCTCTTTCCATAGAATGGAGCAGATGTACCAGAATGTCATGTCTCTATGGCACCAACTGCATGTTAACATGAAGAGCGTGGTCTCCTGGCACTACCTGCAAAAAGACATACGAAATATTGCCTCCTGGAGTCTGGACACAGTTAGTACCACAAGTTTCACCAATTCCCCATATACTCTCTTATCGCAACACTTTCAGAGGTTTATCATAAACATTTGTCTGTTTCTCTAGATGCGCTTACAGGCTCCAGCAGAGAGGCAGCAGACTTTAGACAACCTTGACGCCCACTTGTCCGACTTCCTTACAGACAGTCGCGAGAGCTCCCTTTTCACATCAACTGAACGGCGTGAGCTAGAGAGAGAAGCTGAAAACTGCCGTGAACATTGCCAAACACTGCTGGTCTCTTTGGAGACAGGTAAGTTGTTATTGTCTGTATTAATTGCTTACTATGGAAGCATATGACATGGTGCTAAGTTTTTTTTTTTTTTTT